AGAGCGTTTTTCAGTGTGCTTCCCTGAGCGGATGACAGCATTCATGCCAGCAGGGACTTCAGACCCGCGAGAGCAAGACCGAAGCGGTGCTGTGCGCTTCGCGTTTTTGTTTGGCTGGTGTCTGGCTGGCTGGCCAGGAGTATTGTGTTGTGCTGGAGCTTTATTCAGAAACGAGGGCCTGACAGATACGCTCTGCTGCCCAAAACCCGACAGCATTACTGTTGTCGCCAAATATAACTTCTAGCGAGCTTAGGAGCTGTTTCTCATTAGCTGTCCTAGCAGTGTCACGGCTGCTGACGGGAACTGACCTTCCCAACCTGCTCCGTAAACACGCTTTCCAGAGCTCAGCTTGGACAGGGGTTATGGCTCTTGCTGCCAGTCTCCTGGGTCCATCCCTAGGAAAGGATTACAAAACAGAAGGCTCATATCATCACTGTTTGTTTATGGTGGTTTTGGGAGACACGGGAGCAGCGTTACAGCTCAGATCTTTCCGTTGAAGCTCGCAGATTCTCTGCAGAGAACCTGTCTCCTGCACTGCAGTAGCACTGATCTAAGTCCAGAAACAATTCGGGCTTTTCTGGCTGCACTTTGGAGAAATTCATTCAGTCTAATGGCATTTTGAAGAGGAAAAACAAAAGCATCTGAGAGCCTGAGGTTTGACAAGTTGGCTGTTGTACACTGGGTGGAATTCTGAATGGAAAAATCCTGTGGGTTTCTGCTATGCAAAGCTAGTTGTCCAGACCTATTGCACTACCTCATGTCAGTTAAGTACTACCTAAAAACTACAGGATGCTTGCCACTAAAAGCTCACATTCAGTTGAATTTCTTAGGTTCCAGATTGTCTGTAACCCAAGAAAGAAACAAATGTGAGTGCTGAATTGCTTGTATTAATTTCTAGGACCAAAGCTGTCAGAGTTCTATTAGCTACCTATTTCACAAGTGCTTTGTATAATTTTAATAACACGATAAAAAAGCCATGCTCTTGTAAGCCAGAAGGTTGTAAGACAATTACAAGAGGAAAGTGGATTTAGGGTGAGTACAGGAGATGCGCAGGCAGCTGAATGTGCTGGTGTAGAGTGCAGAAGTAGGCTGTAGTGTTTTGTTGTAGGCGCATGTTGAGTCCACACTTATAAAAGGGTGGGAAATCTAGAAGCAGAGGAATATGAGCAGTTCAGGGACAGAAAGAAACAGTAAGTTTGAATGCTGTTCTGGCTCCTGGCTCGAATTCAGCCAAAGCAGTGCTGGAGAGGTGCTGCATGCATCTGAAAGGAACTTGCTGACGTTCATCATCTCACCAGGATGTGCTCCATGCCTGGCTCCAGCATCCAGAGGCACTGGACTCTGCCCTGAACTCCTCCATGCCTGCCTGTGCACAGAGGAGCTTAGCTTCTGCTGTGGCCAGGCTGGCAGGGAGAATGCTGCCTGGTGTTGCATGCTGGGCTTTGGTCAGCTGCCTGTGCAAGACAGTAAAGATTCCTCTGACTTGGAATCTTTACGGCACAGCACTGTAAACCCAATTTCTCTTGGCAATGGGGTGCTGTGCACTTTGCATTTTCATTTGGCTGGTGAAAATTCCTGAGGGTCAACGGGGCTTCCAGTACTTTATGTTGTTGTTGTAATTTAGGACAGACTTGCTTCCTGGTGATTGCTTATTTACCTATTTAAATTAAATTCAAATGTGGTTTTAGACACTGAGACTGCCTGAGCCTGTATTTTGTGAAACCCCATTGATACAACAATAGGCATTTATGAAAAGCTGAGTATCCTATCTGAAAGTGTACTTGTCACACTAAGTTTTGCAAGGAGACTGGCTGGGAGACACTCTTGTCCTTCCTGCCAGGTTGTCTGCACTGGTATCAGAGTGCTGAATTGCCATGGGAATATGCAGGAAGCAGTATCATGGGGAGGGTGGCAGAGGAGCTGCTCTTAGCCAGGTCATGTTCTCATGGAGCACTTGGGGAAGGACCTGATGTGACCCTCCTGACCTGGCTTGTGTCCCCTTCCAGAGACGCACTCGATGCTGCTGGCGTGCTGTATAATCGAGTCGATGAGGGCGTTCACCGACTGGTGATGCTGTCCAACAAACGCATCCAGGAACTGGAGCTGGTGATGGACTTTGAGAAAGTGGAAGAGTGTTTTAAGGAGGTAAGGCCTGTTTGTCGGTTCAGTGACTGCCTGCTGCCACCCTCTGACTGTGCGTCCCACAGCAGGTACTGGCTCTGCGTCTCTCTCACATGAAGGTGTAGAATGATGCCTGTAGACCTGTAAAAAGAACACCCAAACAACTGAACATTAGAATTTGGGATAGGTCTTCCAGATATGCTGAGAACCAAGCTGCTGTTTGCCTGGTAGCTCTTGATGCTGTGAAAAGTCTCCTGGCTGCTCTTTAGGTGTGGATCAGTCAAACCCCACAGACATCTGGGATGGTTTTTCCATACTTAAAGATTGTGGTGTAGTGGCTTGGCAGTAGGCAGCATGCTTGGAGGTGGGGTTTCTTCACGCATCGGTCAGCAAAAGCACCCACCCTACTGCTGGGGAGCCGTTCATGCTCTGCCTTAAAAAGCAGCAGAGTGATGGCAGGAAGCTGATGATTAGTCCTCGTGTCCCCTCTGGGCTGTGGATCCTTCAGGGATTGCTTATATCCTGCTGCTGAATGAGCCACACGATATACTCCAGGCTAGCTGCCCATCCCTGCTGTGCACTCTGTTTCAGTTCCTGTTCAGTGCTCAGATCCCTGCTATCCAATAAACCCCCGGCACACTCCCTCCCCTCTGTGCGCAGCTCCAGGTATGCTCCTTTCGCCTTTGGGTGCAGCCCTACACACAGTCCCCAAGCAGGGGAGCAGCCTCTTGTCCTTAACCCAAGAGCCACGCTCACCCCCCACCCCCTGCACTTCTGTGGGAGCTTAGAATTCTCCTTCATGTGGTGCTCACAGAAACTCTCTACAACTGTGAGATCATGGAAACAAACAGGCGCTGGTTTTCAGAAGGACCTTTGAAACCTGTAGCTGTGTAGATAAAAAGAACCTTAAAAAGTCAAAGTAGCTCAGGCTGTCTGAGCGTCCTACAAGATCCAAATAGTTCTTTGAGCATTGCAGATCCCAGATGTGCTCCTTGAGCCTGAACTCTACCTCGAGATTATGTCACACAGTTTCCTTTACTGTAACTTGTCAAAGACAAAGATTTTTCTCACTTATTACCCTGTGTGTGCGAAGGGTTGTGTGCTGTCTGGAGCTCACCTGAGGAACCTGCATCCTTTAATCAGTACTAGGATAGTTTCACCCTTGCTATTCTAGGGTTCTGGGCGCTTTCCCTCTGGAGAGCACTGGATTTAGAGGAGGCTGTAGCCTACCTGTTGTTTTCACAGGCCAAGGTGGATCCCAGAGTGCTAATGACTTCCCATTTGGAGGTAGACACTGGGACGCCACGCACAAGGTGTTCAGGACAAGAAGTGTGATGCAAGAACCTCGTAAAGACTCCCTTAAGCACACAGGTTCCTAATACCAAACAAATGAAAAAAGGCACAAAGGCAGGCTCTGCAACCCGCCCCTGCTTTAAGCTGAGCTGCTTCTGAATGAACTGAGGAAAACTGACTGCTCACAGATCATCAATGATGGCAGCAGCTGCTCCTGCTTTTCAGCCTTCCCAGGAGCTCTAGGCCACAGCAGTGTGCCCCTCTGTCATACGGGTCCCACTCCCATCTTTTCCACGGTGCCTGGTCTTTGGGCACGGGCCTTGAGTCTGTCCTTGACTTCGCTGGGTTGAGTTGGGATATGGATTTACATGATAGAGGAAAACAGGATGCATGGGCATTAGGAAACATTTAGTCTGTCCCTTCCCCCAGGTGCAGCTATGCCTGAAGCATTGCAGACAAGCTTACTGGCCTGTTTTTAAATCCTACGGTTGATGGCGATGCTGTGTTGTCCTTCCTGTGTCTGCTTTGCTTTTAGGACACTCTTGTTAGTCCTCTACCCATCTTTGAGGATTCAGGCTTATAACTGTGGCCGTGGCTGGGCTGTCAGGAACCTGCAAGTTACTGCATGGCTCTGTGGCAATCTGCCTTGATTGTGACCTGTGACCTGTGAAATGTTGCACACAGGGAGAATCTATTAGTATGTTCATGTCCTGCCAGTCAGAAAAGGGAAGTGGTGTAGGAAATCTGGCAGCGGGGAGATTTTATCCCACTTGGAGGTAACAATAGGAATATCAGGCCAGCCTGCAGGTTGCAGGGCTTGTGTTAGACCATGGCTTACCTGAAAGAGAGCCCAAGCAGCTACTTGCCCTGTTTATGCCTTGGGCTAGTGAGCAATAGCAGAGCTTTGCAATTACTCAGTAACCTGAAGTGGAAAAACTTCTAGCAGGAGGCTCAGGCTGAAATGCCAGGATGGGGGGAGAGGCGTACATGCACATTCTTTCCAGTAATGAAATGACCAGTGTTATGAGAGCAGTTCCTTGCTCTTTCCACATAAAGGCTTACCTTGGTGAGTAGCACAGGGTGACTAATAGCGGAGCTTTTCCCTTTTCTCCTAGGTCAGCAGTTGGATTGAGAATGTTGGCAGAAAACGGCTGAAGGAAACAATCAACCTGGACGATTCTTTGGAGATGCTGCTTCAAGCACAAAAGCAGTTCAGGGAGTTTGATCTTATTGCCAGTGTAAGTGCTGTCTGCTTGGAAAAAAACTATTCTCCAGAGTCTGGGCTGGCTTTGTGCGTGCCTCCTGTGTGCTCAGCCAAAGCATGATGCTAAGGTGGCATTGGTAGAGGGTTCATCGCCAAGGTGTGTGGTGTTCCTTTACACTACTTGGCTTCCCTGCTCTCTTTTCTAGACAAAGGCACCAGATAGCTCTCAGTAGATGGTATTTGCTAGTCTTGAGGAAAGTAACTACTGTGGTGGAAGATGGAATTTTTTGGTTGTTAATCCCTGGATGTGCTTGTCACGCTGTCTGGTTTTTGATCCTAATTGACCTGTGGCCTTTACAGGCTGCTGTGTGGCTCACGTAAATCATAACAGAGGTCAGGACTCTCCAGAATTCTGCTGTAAGCAAGTACACCCTTGCTCACATGATTTGAACCTTAAACAGTTTAATTAGCCCTAGCTGTTAATAACCTTGAAGATTATCTACTGTCCACGTCAGATCTCTATCCTCATACACCATCCCATTTTGCTTTCAGGAATATTGCAGAAGGGGGCAGGAAGCACTAAAGAAGATGGATCGATGGGAAGACTTTTCCTCAGTGGATGTACATTCGTACAGGGTGAAGCTGCAGACCTACAGAGATCAACTGGAAGAGTTCTGCACTCAGCTGGATGAAAACAGGCATCGGATCTGTGAGACCGTCCGGCTGTATGAATTCTTTGACAAGGTAAGACAAGGCATCTGCTGCATGGAGGAGGGTGTAAAAAGCCTGCCTGGACTCAGTCCATAGCTTGGTTGTTTATGAAAGATGTGTAGTGTGTGCACTAACAGGGAGATCTATACCCTGCAAAAGCCTCTCATGCTCATGTATCTGCAGTGGTTGTTTGTCAAGTCCATAGATGGAAGAAGGGGTGTGTTCAAGAAAACGTCCACATCTGTTAAGAACAGAGGTCTTCTGCTGCTGAGCTGTAGCTTGTAGGCCCCTCTCATGGCTGCGGTGGACAGAAGGATCATGGCAGTGCTAGCTTGGACATCAAGGGCCAAGAGCTGGCTGCTTGTGTCCAGTCTTGGCACCAGGCCAGGGTGGGCTGCCTGAGTTTTGTTCATACTGGGTCCTTACACACTGGTAAACACAGTCTGTTGGCTCATCAGGAGTAGCACCCTGCTATTCAGCCCTCAGTACTGCCCAGCTCCTCTCTTGTGGAGGCCTGCATGAGGAAATGGAGCACCAGGACGGGGTGCTGGGCAGTGAGGCTGAGGGAACAAGGGGACTGGGTTGACCCTGGCATCTGGGAAGCAGAAGGGGATGAATGTGGTGACCGTGCTGGGTGTCTAGCCTTCTCACCCCTTTGGTTTAACACACCCACTCAGCAGACCTGCAGTTGGATTTGGTGTCCTTTAAGTTCTGAAGTTGCAGATGAATAAACAGTGGAATTTTTTTTCTAAATGCATTTTAAAATAGAGCTTTGGCAAGCGCAGAAGGCCAGGGAGCCTGTGCTCCACTTATTCCACACTTGTACAAACATTGGGTATTGAAGTTCTCGGATTCCAGAAAGAATAGACACTAAATGCTAAGCTGTACCAGATGTAGGTGCCACTTGGTTGCTGTCTGTGAGCTGCCTTGGCAGCCAGAAGTGCTCAGAGGAGGGGGCAGGAAACTCAGCTAAACATGAAAACATCAAGAAGCATCCTGTGCGAGGGAGGAGAGCAGAGAAGGCAGCCCAGAACATCGCAGTCGGGACACGCGAGGATTGAGTTTGGTGGTGGAGCAGGCGCGCTCCAGCTCATCTGTGCAGTTTGCTGTGCAGGTGGGGAACCTCTGGCTGTGGGAACATGGCCCTCTTGGTTGTGCCTTTCGTGCTGTGCGGCCCCCATGAAAACGGAATGGTAGTGGTGGCACAGTGTGTTTGCACGTTGCTTTGGTCGGGAGGAGAGGTATCTCGCTTAGGGATGGAGGAGGATTTTGATCTCTCTGGTTTCAGCAGAACTATAAACAGTGCTGGTGGTGTAAATACAACACGTGTGTTGTGATCTGCTGGCCAACTGAAACCAGAGGCGTGGAGGGGATACGTCCTGCAGCTGCAGGATGACTGCTGAAATCGCTGTGCAACATGAAAGTTCTTTCAGTGCTGATTATTTTGATCTTGATCTCCAGAACTTTCTTCCTTCCCAAAGCAAAGACAGTGGTGCGGTCTGGAAGGTGGGGAAAGCAGGAGATGTTATCTACACTGATTTCACTCCCTTCTGATGGTGAGCTGCTGTGACCTTACTGCAGTGAGCTTGTCAATGCCTGCCTAACCCCCTTCTCCCTTCCCTGATATCTGAGGGGTTTTCAACAGCAGGAGTCGAAGCTAAGCAATGTCCTAGATTTTCCCTCTTGTAAAAGAGCCTGCAGCGTGCCAGACCCCAGGATTTGGGGAAGGAGCCTGAGGATGCGTAAGCAGCATACACTATGGTAATGAGCTGGCAAGCTCACATCTCTCTAAACATCTCTGCGTGCGCCAAGGGAGCAGAGAGCCCACCACAGGGATTGTGGTAATCATCCCTTGCTTGCCTTGCTGCCCACTGGGAATGGGGTGCTTTGTTCTGCTGGTCCTTCTGTGTTTGGTGAGCAAGCCTTTCGTGGAGTGCTGCCTATGGCTGCCGGACAGGACATGGGACAGGGAGCACAATGGTATGGTCCGTCAGGATGCTGTCCTGTGTCTTTCACTGCTTGGCAGCTCCTGATGGCCGGTCGGAGCTCCCAGACTGAGCTGGGCCAGACCGCATGAAGCTTGCACATGGGCTGGCAGGCTTCCTTCTCCCCAAAGCTGTCACTGGTGCCAAGCTGGATGTTTCCATTTGTCCCCACTTCCTCTGCGGCAGGAGCTCTCTGTGCCTGACAAAGGCTGGGTGGCTGGGCTGAGGCGGGAGGAGCAGGGAGGGAAGCTGCCTTCCCCATCTCTGCGGGCAGAGGATTGTTTTTCAGTGCCACAGACTCGGTGAGAGCATAGTCAGGGACCTGCCATCTTCCTGTGGCTGTAAGCCTGGCCGTTGTCCCTTGTTTACTCAATTCCAAGGCTGTGTTGGGATCTGGCACCACACAGTGCTTTGAGGGAGAACTGGGAAGCTGAGCAAGCAAGGGTGTGTGTGTCGTACCTAAAGCATGGTGTCTGCTTCGTGCTGGGGTGCCTGCAAGGGCGGGCCCCAGTGCCCTTCGCTCTCACTGCTGATCCTGGCTTACAGTAATGCTGCCATAGGCGTATTACCAGGAGGAGCTACAGCAGGTCTTGCTTACCTTGTTAACCTTCCTATTTTTGCCTTTCTGAAGCTTTCTTTGGGTGAAATTATTTCCCAAGTCACTCTTACATCTCCAGTTCTTGGCACGCTCTTGACTTTTCCATGAGCCAAGTGTCCTGATGCTTGGAATGGCCCACAAGAGCTGTGTGCCCTGTCAGGCCTACAGCTACCTGACTTGTGGTGACATGAGCCAGAGCACACAGCGTGGTCTCTGCCAGCCCCAGGATGACAACCACTGCTGTGGAAGGTCCGTAGAGAAGGCATATGATACTTTCTGGCAAAAGTCTGTGTTGGAAAAAAGCACTGACCCAACCGGAAAGGGCAGAGTCCCACAGGGCGGCTCAGCACCTGCATTCCCTGCAGCGGGTCAGAGCCCTGCAGCTCTAAGGGCCTGAGGCAGCCCCAGGGACTCTTGCCCGCTTGTCAGGGTGTTGTGCAAGGTGCTGCTTCTTTTGGTGCTCTGGGAAAGTATGGGAATTGCTTTGCTGTGCCCTGGGAGCCTGCTGTAGCTTGGGCTCTTCCCTTGCATTTGCATTCTGAGGGAAGCCATTCAGAGACTCAGAGCTCAGCTTTGGGGTGAGGATGGTCCAGAAACGGTAGCGTTTCCCTTGTTGGGATTTCTTTGGGCTCTGCTCCATGGCCTGTTCCTTCAGAGGTGTTCTCTGGCTGCCACCCTTGGATCTCTTCCCTCAGAGGACCTGTGCTGATTCTGGTTCCTCAGTTGCGACCTCCAGCCGTTCCCGGCTTTTCTGCTGCGTGCAAGGAGCTGCGGCTTCCAAGCTCTGCAGGCAGAGTGTTGCCCAACCCCTCTCCACCTGTGTTGACATCTCTCGCGGAGTGGGTTACCTGTGGATCTGCTCCCACTGGCGGGTTCTCCTCCGCTCTCCTCCTCCCCTCCTCAGCCACTTTGTTCTTTGTGGCTTCGCAAACAAAGCCTTTGGCAAGTGAAGGAGGTGCCTGCCCTTTCTGGGGGAGGGCCAGCTGGCGTGCATTTGATTATGGCAGTGCCTCCTCATCCCTCCCCATTGTCCCTGCTGCCGTAGGAATGCCAGCCTTTTTGCGCTCCATCCCCTGAACAAGTGTTGCTGCCTCTGGGACCCAAAGAGGGGCTGGGATCCTTCTTCCCATCTGTCCAGGCCCTGCTGGCAGGACAGCTTCTCCGCACACCTCCATGCACCTTCCCTCGGAGTGGCAGGAAAAAAGGCAGACCTTCCTGTGAGTACCAAGTGTCCGGTGCCCCGGCTGACGCGTGAGTTGTACTGAGATTGTTCGGAAACAGCGTAGAGGAGGCTTTTCACTGGCTTGCTTGTGCGCGTCCGTGTGCCTCCAGCATGAATCCGAGTGCTTTGTGTGTGTCTTTTGTGCGCTCAGACGGAGCACTGTGGGCTGTGTGCATCTTTGCACGGTCCCTCCGAACACCAGGGTTGTGCTGTTCTTCTTTCCCTTTACTAGAGGATATTGCAGGATCACTTCATTGGGCATAATTTAACTGGGATCGCATGCCTCCAGACTAGCTGGGGGGGTGTGTGGGGCAGGTGGTGCCTTTCAGTGTGCCCAGATGCTGTTAAAGGCTGTGTGTGGACAGCACAATCAGGGGCTGTTCTGTTCTCCCCAACCGCTCCGAAGTTCGCTGGGCTCTTGTCCTGGGAGTGACTGACTGAGACCTGCTGGCACAGCGTTCCCAGCTTCTAGAGATGGATCTGATCTTAGATGTGACAGCAGAAATCCAGAGCATGATAGATTAGCTGACTTCCACAGAAGTTACCTCCCGCTTCTTCTCAGAAGATTCAGAACAGGGACCTGCAGATGTCTTGTTCTGCTGTGCTTGGTTCCTGATGATGTCCCAGGTGTAATGCCACGGACAATGGTTTTTGGGGCAGGGGGAGAAGGGAAGAAATCAAGTCCCCTTTAAGCAATAAATTATTGATGTTTCTTTTTGTTTAGCCTTGGATGAGGAAAGACGGGTTGTGAATGCTGGTCTGTGGGAAGCTGGAAAGGGTCCTGGTGGCTGCCATCGGAAAGTGTGATTTTTCTATCACATGCTGTTTGGCACAGTTTGAGAGTTATTTACTGAAAGGGGGTTATTCCCTGCTCTGGGAATGTGCTTGAAGGATGTCTGGACAGTAGACCTTAGCCTCAAAGTGGGAAAAGAAGCATTTGATGGTGTCCTTACTGCAGTGTACTTACAAATAGAGATTCGCTTGCCGTGCTGCGATGCTTGGCTCTTGCTGGCTGTGCTGCGCAGGTCAGAGCATGGCTTTGCCCCCAGCACCTCAGAGCAAATGAGGTTTTTTCTGTGGCTTGTAATAACCTCTGCGAGAAGCTTAACATGGACTGTTCCCTCTACCTCTGCGCAGAGATCGGCTTTACTTTCTGGGGACGGGCTGCATGAAGTCCCCAATAACAGTTTTCCTCCGATTACTGGTGCAGGCACTGAAGATGATGAAG